CCATAGTCACAGTCTTGAGAGGTTTCCTGCACAGGTTTCTAATCTCAAACCAGAAATGATATAATATGCCCTAATTGGCCCATTTCGAGAATCACTACTGTCACCAAGACATACATCCAATCTGATGTAAGAAAGAAATAACCTGGAATGATGCATTTTTTCCTATGTGAATTGTTTTGATATATTCTATTTTCTTACTAATGCACAATATATTATAGCCAATGCTGAATATAATATATATGTATGCATGTATATATAATGCTTTTACATTAAATGATACATATCTCTACTGATGATCATTAGAGGATTATTCCAGGTCTGACAAATAACTTTTCAAATTCTGTCAGTTCTGATAATATTATAGTGCTGTCTAGCATACTGCCTGAGAAAGATTCTGAGGCCATGACCAGTCTTAGTAGAAATGAGTATTGTGATCTCTTAATTCTGTCAACAGCTAACTCTTGAACTGGTAACAAAGTAATCTATTTGTTATCCGTGATATAAATCTAATGTCCTGTTTGTGTGGAAACCGGTTCTTTCATCTTTTCTATGAAAGAATGGGGGTACCTGGGTGGCTCAGTCAGCTGAGCTTCCAACTTTGGTTCAGGTCATGATCTCATGTGTCAATAGTTTAAGCCCCACATCAGGCTCGCTGCTGTCAATGCAGAGCCTGCTTGGGAGTCTCCCACTTTCCCTCTCTCACTGCCCCTCCCCTGCTCTTGTGCACTCTTTCTCTTTCTCTCAAAATAAATAAACATCAAAAGAAAAAGAAAATATGAATGAATAAACATACATTCAATGAGCAGGATGTGCTGAAACTTCATAAATTTTAATTATGAGAAAATGTATTATGCTTCAATCACGAGTTCATTACTAAGCACTAGTAAAACTTCCTAATTCAACTCATTTGAAGGTGATTTTAACTGTTAAATACAGTGTCATTATTATAAGGAAATCTGATGACCAGGATTGGAAAAAGGGAAGTTGTATTTAAGGATAACAAGGGGTTCTCATTCATAAACTACAATGTAAATGTTGTCTCCTAGCCTTGGGCAAGGCACAACCTGCCCAACCATACATGGTGGTCTTAGTGCCTGAACACAACGGAAAGTATAAAATATAATAATGATAATAAGGACAGCATTTGTTTGCCCCTTTACAGACTATAAGGGAAAAGAAAGACCTGAACATTATTGAAACATATATCAGATTAGGATTTCATATCTTTTTTGTCACTATCTGTCAAATAATTTAATATGCCTAATCTGTATTTGTAAGAAAAATTAGCAATAAATGAAAACTTCAGTAGACTATCTGCTCAAAGTATCAGAGATTCAAAATTAGGAAAATGCAATTTATTGATGTTTTATTGACCTGCCACCCACTTGTTTTATAAGACTAGTGACTGGATGTAAAACAACAAGTAAGAAATTTTCTCCCAAGGCAATAATAATTATGTTGCCTTTTAACAATTCATTTAAAGTACTAAAACTGTTACTTTACAACATCTTACAGCATTCAGACTTTTCATGAAGAGTATGTTCTAAAATCAGCCGTCTTGGACAATTACAACCTCTGGAAGTAGGGCAAGCTGGGTAAATGCTGGGTGAGAGAACCTGGGTGGCACTGTTGGTTGAGCGTCTGACTCTTGATTTCGGCTCAGCTCATGGATCTCACTATTTGTGAGATGGAGCCCCATGTCAGGCTCTGTAATGAGCATGGAACCTGCTTCAGATTCTCTCTCCTTCTCTCTCTGCCCCTCCTCCACTCATGCTCACCCTGTCTCTCTCTCAGAATAAAAATAAAAAAGAAAAGAAATGTTAAGGTAGATAAGGAAGATAAGATAAGAACTCTGACAATGAAAAGACAATCCATTTTGTAGAGGAATTAGATGGCAGTAGGAGTCCAGAATCTTAGGCTACATTAGCTTTCTAGGTAGTTCTAGCATGCCTCTTACTGGCTATAATTCTTCACCTACTATATTTGTAAATTTTAATGTCCTGATATGTTAGCATCTCTTTAGACTTTAATATCAAATGTCAAAAGAGGCCTGGATCACCAAATAATTTTTTATAATAACAAGGGAACTTGTTGTACGTGTTTGACTCCTCTGGTTGTGGTGAAAGATGAAGCAGACAATCGCCATCCTTTGCCTGGTGTTAAGGCAAACAAGGCAAATGGGGAAAATTTATCAAGTAGATGGACGTTCACTGATCGTAAAATCTGCTAATGTAACATTGAGAGATATTAAAAGAGTTATTTATTTTTTTAAAGCTTATTCATTCCATCATGAATTCAGCCATGTCAAATATATATTTATTTATTTATTTTAGAAAACTTTTAAGTTTACTCATTTATTTTTGGTAAGATAGAGACAGCACGAGTGGAGGGGGGGGCAGAGAGAGGGAGAGAGAGAATCCCAAGCAGGCTCCACACGGTCAGCGCAGAGACCAATGTGGGACTCAAACTCAGAAACCGTGAGATCACAACCTATGCAGAAACCAAGAGTTGGATGCTTAACTGACTGAGCCACCCAGCCACCCCTAAAAAAATTTACTAACTGTTCCCATGTGCCTGGTAGTGTTCAGAATAGGAGAATAAAGCAGTGAATTTAGACAATAATATCTGCCCTAATGACATTTATATTTTAGCAGGAAAACCAACAATAAACAAATGAGTAATATATATGTGTGTGTATAAGAGTTTATAAGAGCTATGAGGAAAAGAAGTAGGTGAAGTGGGCTAAAGCATAACAAAACAGTGAATTGCAGTGTTAAATCAGGTGGCCAGCGACATTGTGAACAAAATATTCACAAGGTTGTACAAATGTAGAGAGGTTACTTTGGACACTGTGGTCAGGAGAGAATTTCGTGCATTGCTAACTTGTGAGCTGAGACCTGAATGACAGCCGTGTCAGTATTTTGGAAGAATCTTCAAAGGCTTTAGTGAAGAGTGAGCCTGGAGAGCTTGGAGTACAGGATATCTGGAGCCAGCATATCTGGAGCACAGAAAGTGAGCAGCTGGACAGGCAGAGATAAAATCCCAGAGATAAGCACGAACAGGCCACTCTAGCCAATGTGGGAATTTTGGTCTTCATCTGGATGCGTACAGAGAGAGAATCTTAATTGTGGGGTGCTATTCCCCCAACTTGACCCAAATAGCTATTTATATCTGCATCACTCCTGGTGCCTATCAATCAGGCATTCCATCAGTCAGACTCTCAAACAAATAATTGCTGTGCCGTGCACAATGCTAAATGATGGGAGCACAAGACAGACACCACCAGCCCTGTCCTCGTGGAGTTTAGACTTCAGTGGAGAAGTTATAAATGAAATGATTACAAGTATCACAAGGTCTAAGGGTAAGTGAGATGTAATACTGGTATTTATAGCAAAATAGGGTTAACCTAGCCTACAACTTAGGACCTATAAATATGTAGCAATGAAATAGTATCATCTTACATGTTTCACTTCAAAAAATCATCCCAAGATTCTATCTACTGTAACAATAAAAGAAATTGAAAACATCCATTTATATAGTGCTTGATAATTTTCTATATTCTTTTGTATACATTACCCTACTTAATAGTCACAAAAACTGTGCTAGAGGTCAGTTGGTTATAATTATCTTCTTTTTAAAGATGAATCAGCTGAAGCTCTGAGAATTTATATTATTTGTCTATAAGCATGAAATAAGTTAGTAATATAGGTAGGCAGTCCTAGCCTTTTTCTACACTACCTATGCCACTGGAGCTCTGATCTGACTAACTACAAGAAAGCTGTGTAGTCAACAGCACTAGGCACTTAGTTTGGAGGTAAATGGAAGACAGAACATAGCATCGTAATGCTTATGAAATATGGGATCTGTTTAGAAAGGTGTTCTGATAAGCACCAGGTAATAAATTGTGCAGAAGTTCTGTGTGCATATAAACTTAGGGAACAATCAGGATGGTATGGGATTACTCTATAACCTTGTCTTAAGAGAAAATTTTAAACTGAGAATAGAAATACATTATGTGGTTAGATTTTGATGCTTTTACATTCTGAAACTGTTTTTTTCTCTTTTCCCATTCTCAAAATCACTGCCAATCAATGGATCTTACCCACCATTTCCTCTGAATTTATTGCTTACCTTAGAAATCTACAGTGTTTCTTCACTGAACAGATTAATCTTAGCTACTGTCTTTCCCCTCTGCCAAATACTTCTGCCCAGGCACTCCAGAAAACTTTACTCAGCATTCTATTCCAATTATCCTATTCCCAGCTCTAAGCCCGATGCCAAGATTTCTATTTGAATCACCTCTTCCTAGAATGCTAAATTGTCAACCTTTATAAAAGCTTCATTCGTTTAACCTTTCTCTGTTTCTTAGAAAATCAGTGGAGAATTCTATCCAATATGCAATCCTGAATTTGCTGCCTTACGAAATAACACTCTCTGATGTTCTCATAGAGCAGAGTGAGTTTACTTTTCCAATTTTTTGTTTGATGTCAACAAATGTCTGGCTCTATTAATACTGATTATTTGGCATGACTCATTATTTACAATGAGTCAGCAGCTGGCATAATGTCAGATAAGAATACGTTTGATATTTTCAAATAACATTGTCTTGTTACAAATATTACATATCTAATCATTCCCCTCCCATTATACCTGCTTTATAATTGCCAATAATACATGTCAACTACCAAGTGATTAAGACACAAGAGAAAAGTATACAACTTCAATTATATATATAATTGTGTTAACTATCTTATTCTTCATAACCATGAACTGGTGCATGGCATGTGATCTACTGAGGACACTGTCAAACCATCATTATTTGACAACATGCCAGGTCCTATGCTAAACGTTTGTTGTATTCTATTTCTTTTTACCTTATTACCAACTCAATAAATAATTAGTTTGCAATATGGCTTTCTGCCTAGAAAGTCAGTGAATATCAAAGACACATTTTAAAAAACTTATGAGAAACATCTTTGTGAAAAGGGAAAGACACTTACAGGAACCAGGAATTTTTTAATCTCTTCCAATGCATGACTCATTCGTGAATAAGCTTCCCCAGGTGGAGCAAACACTTCAATTAATACATGAAGTTCATCACTCAAGTGGGCATATTTGGCTTCCCCACTCTTCCTTAATTCTTCTTCCTGTGAAAGAAGGAAGTTATTTTTAGAAATACAAATCCACCCATTTTGCATTGATTTAACATTTACTAAGAATATGACAAAAGAGAATAATCTAAGCAAATTTTCCGTAAGTAGAAACCCTCTGAGAAATAAAAATCTGGTATAAGCCATTTAAAGATTTTAAAATCATTTTTGACGGTTGGAAGGATTTTTTTAAAAGCTGGCATAATTATCATCTACAATAGATTTTAATCAGCTAAATGAAAATGCTAAGCCCTTGAAGTTACAGAAACACCATTATTTTTTCAGTGTACAACACTCAATTGTGGAAGAAAAAGGTCATTTTTGTGTCTGACAAATCATATTTTGCAGATAATAAACTAAAGATTATCACTGTTCTTTAAGAAAACCAAAACTTTCTAGCCACTTTTTTAGAAGTAGTGAAAAGGTTACTTGTTTGCCATTAAAGTATGCAAAACCAAGGTTTACGTCCCAGCCTATGTCTCTACTGGCTCAGATTGTCATCTAGCTTCATAGTCACAGCTTCTCTATCATTTGCTGCCTCATTTTGGTCAATAAAAGTATACTAAAGGGATGGTGGTTAAGCATTACATTGGCATTGATTCTGTATGAGCTATATATTTAACCAACAACACATTTCTATCAGATCAGATTTTTCGTAGTACTGACTGTATCCAGGAGATTATTGGATCCTGATTAATACAGCGCAGGTGCAGAGCAAATTGGTACACAATTCCATACACCTTGCTAACGTGTGCAGGGTATTTGACACATATCATCTCTAATCTCACAATAACCTTGCGCATTATTCACAAGTCAGATTAGGAAGCTGAGTTTAAAAAACTTTAAGCAGCTTCACCAAACTTGGGATTCCAACCCAGCACATTCTGCAACCAGATTTCCATTTTTCTAGGATTTAAAGGAAGTAGAATTTTCCATAAAATGTGAACATAAATAACACCAAGTGTGTTTTACTTTTATTGACTCCCATCCCCAATAAGCTAGTAGTTGTTTCACTAAATTTGTAATGATAAAAACTAAGGGGAGCCTGGGCGGCTCAGTTGGTTAAGCGTCTGACTTTGGCTCAGGTCATGATCTCACAGTTCATGAATTCAAGCCCCAGTAGAGCTCTGTGCTTGGAGCCTGCATAGAATTCTGTGTCTCCCTCACTCTCTGCCTCTCCCCTGTACATTCTCTCTCTCAAAAATGAAAAAAAAAAGTTTAAAAATATTTTTAAAAAACTAGAAAGTAATTTTTAGTTTTATTTGGGGGATTAATTAGAAAAGTAACATGGATAGATCTAAACTGGATAAATAAAGGCAAATTTGCTATTGATTTCCAATAAGTTAACTGTATGACCCATGTTCACGTGCTTATCTGATTAGGAACTAACATCACTTCAGGGTTCCTGGGTGGCTCAGTTGGTGAAGTGCCCAACTCTTGATTTTGGTTCAGGTTTGATTTGTGAGATCAAGTCCCAAGTCAGGCTGTGTGCTACCAACACGGAACCTGATTGAGATTCTCTGTCTCTCCCTCCCTCTCTTTGCCCCTACTCCACTCACATTCTCTCTCTTTCAAAATAAATAAAAAACACTGAAAAATCTTAAACAAAAAAAGAAACTTCCATCATTTCAATACATGGAGGATCATGAAAAAGATGGGAAGGTGTGGTGCTTTTCTGTCCACCCCCCATCCACTCAAATCTAACAATAATACCTTTGGGGCTAATAATCTACTCTCCAAGTAAGTGTCCCTAAGCATACTTTTGGAGGGTTTCTTGTGTTTTTTAAAATTTTTTAAATGTTTTATTTATTTTTGAGACACAGAGAGACAGAGCATGAGCCGGTAAGGGGCAGAGAGAGAGGGAGACACAGAATCTGAAGCAGGCTCCAGGCTCTGAGCTGTCAGTACAGAGCCCAATACGGGGCTCAAACCCATGAACTGTGAGATCATGACCTGAGCCGAAGTCAGACACTTTAACCGACTGAGCCACCCAGGTGCCCCACACACTTTTGTTTTATGTTTATTTATTTTTGAGAGAGAGAGCATGAGTGGGGAAGGGACAGAGAGAGAGGGAGACAGAGACTCCAAAGCAGGCTCTAGGCTCCGAGCTGTCAGCACAGATCTTCTAATAGACACTGAGATCATGACCTGAGCAGATATCAAGAGTCTGATGCTTAACCCACTGAGTCACCCAGGCACCCCTCCTAAGCACACGTTCTATCTCTAACTAGGAGTTTTTACTTAAAAGGGTTTTCTTAATGCCCATTTCTCAGTTTAGGGAGAAGTAGCACTTGTCTGAACAATTACGCACTCATGGGGTATAGTACATATCTCCTTCCTTTTTGGATTCTGCTGGGAGGTAAGCTGCTCATTATCTCTGGGGTCAGCTTCATTTGCACCTAAGTGTTGAGGTGGTTAAGTCAGAGGACTCTTTACACTGCCTCCTTCTCCATACTTCCTAAGCTGATTTCCCACTGGTTATTAAGGACTACTTGCTAGCCAAATTTTATAGTGTCTGTGTACTATGTGTGGCATTCAAATAAGAATTATAATACTTATTTTAAAAATGTTAATGTTTATTTATTTTTGAGAGAGAGAGAATCAGAGCAGGATCAGGGGAAGGGCAGGGAGAGAGGGAGACACAGAATCCTAAGCAGACTCCAGGCTCTGAGCTGTCAGCACAGAGCCCAACTCAGGACTCAAATCCGTGAACCATGAGATCATGACCCGTGCCAAAGTAGAACGCTTAACTGACTGAGTCACCCAGGCACCCCAAGAATTATAATACTTATTTTAAAGGTTTTAATGAAACAGCCCTAGCAGTTTAACCATTAGGCTGCTGTTGATGAACAAAATGTAGCTTACTATTATAAAGCACATTTGCCTCTCCCCTCCTCCATCACCCTTTATACAAGCAGAGGAAGAAACTGAGGTCTTTAGATATTAAACAACTTCCTGGAAGTCAGGCATTAGTCAGGATTCCAACCAAGACCCAGTAAGGTAGGTAGACTAAAGGTAAACTAAAGGTAGACTAAAGGTAGACTAAGGTAGACTAAAGTCTTAGCAATGAGAAAGACTTTAAAGGAGAAAAGTTAACACAGCAGAACCTATCGTGAGCTACTTACTACTGGTTATTTTCAAAACTAAACTTTATATTTTCAAAGCGTGTTATATTTGAACTCATGTATCATGGTAACTTTTTTAAAAAATTTATTTATCTATTCTGAGAGAGAGAGAGAGAGAGAGAGAGAGAACAAGGGAAGGAGAGAGAGAATCCCAGGCAGGCCGTACACAGTCTATACAGAGCCCGACACAGGGCTCAATCCCATAAACTGCAAGATCACGAGCTGGACATTCAACTGACTGAGGCAAGGGTAACTTTTTACAGAGCAGAGTCTTCCAAGCTTTAGTTTCTTTATCTGTGAAACTTAGATAATAATAGTGAGGTCATGGAATTTTGTGAATTTGGAGAAAATTAAAGAACATTTTGTATAATAAAATGCTCCACCAATTTATAATAATAATAAATACTGTTTCTATATTTTAAGTAGCATTTGAAATGATGTCTGGCTGTTTCAACAGATACCAACACAAATGTAACTTGCACACGAACAGTTCTTTCTTTCTCAAATAAGAGTCTAAGCCTTATGTAGCTAGAGGAACAGGTGGTTTGTCTCTTCACTCTTATCCAGGGATCCTGGTTCCTCCTCTCTGAACTCAAGCAGCCCTAGGCTGTTGCTCTCCTGTGTGCTGATGAAGAAGGCTGTCAATAATCACTTCTAAATTCCACTCCAGGGAAAAGAGAAAGAAAACGTAGGCAGCAAAAATCTCATTCTCATGGACATTTGCCAAAAGTTTCATACATCATTTCTGCTCACATTTCTTTGGGAAAAGCGTACATACACAGTAGCCCTGGATGCCATGGAAGGTATTAACAGTGGTTTCAGGCTGAGCAGCCTTGAGACTAAAATGTGAGGATCTCATTTATGATGCAAAGAAGTGAGAATGGATACTGGATGACAACGAGCTGTCTTTGTATTCTGTCCTCATTCAGGGCTAGCTAAAATAATACTTTCTTATTAAATCTAATCTTGGTGAATAGCTAGCCAATGTCTGCCAGAATGCTCAGACCTTATTTTCAGAAACAAACATATACCTCCAGTCGGATTTATAACAAACCTGACTTTCATTTGAATATAAGCAGACATCACAGCCGTCCTAAATAAAACAAGTCTCTAGAAGCCAGTAAGTACATTTACAGTATTTGCCTACCATTTCTTGAGGTATTTCTTAAACAAGAGTTCCAAATATATTTTGGAAAAAAAAAGTTTAGCTTTGAAGTACATTCATTATCTGATAAGTTGATTGTGAATGGGGCAGTGAGTAGTATTTTCATGTTTCTGACCAATACCTTTTGCATGTTTTATAACAAAGACATGTTTTATAACAAACCTAACAGGTTATATTAGATACAACAGGCGACATAAGAGCAAGAATCATAAAAAATGATGAGCCTGGGTGGCTCAGTCAGTTAAGCATCCGACTTCAGCTCAAGTCATGATCTCATGGCTCATGGGTTCAAGCCCCGCATCAGGTTCTGTGCTGACAGTTAGCTCAGAGCCTGGAGCCTGTTTCAGATTCTGTATCTCCCTCTCTCTCTGACCATCCCCTGCTCATGCTGTCTCTCTCTCTCTCAGAAATAAATAAAACATTAAAAAATTTTTAAATAAAAATTTAAAAAAGATTAAGAAATTAGAAATGTTAGAAAAATCTTGGGTGTAAATTGACATGAACTGTTCCAAAGCTAACATTACAGAAAATTGAATCTCCATCTAGTAAAAGCACAGAAAAGAACACAGGGAATAAATCAAAAGAATGGAAGATGCACATACTAGAAGATGAATCGGCTTGACGTGATTCAGATTTCTGCTTAAAAGACTGCACACTCAGTTGATATTATTTAATCCTCCATGTTAAAGGTACATTTATTCCACTGA